CTTCAACAAACGCCGGACCTTCCGTGAACTAGTTCTGACCTGTTTATGGCCCAAGATCAGGAGCTGGTAAAGGTGCAACCTATCCCATTTCTGCTGCATTTGTGGTGACCAGTGAACCTTACCCATCATGGAGCTTATCTCTCTTCCGGCCCTTCGCGCATATTGGTCCTCCAAGGACCGCCTCTCCGAGCAGTCCATCCATGAGGTCGATTGGTTGTCTCTTGCATGCGCCATGAAGGCCTTCCCAGCAAATCTCCAACTCTGGACACCCAAGCATATCTCGGGTATGACGGGTGTAGGAAAATCCTTGGCCATTTGGAACCCTTGGGCTAAGAGCTCATGCCCCCGATGCTCCTCTTGCCAAGTGGAAGATTACCTCCATGTCCCACGCTGTTCTGCACCTACCGCAGCTGCAGAATGGTCCAAACGCCATCTGGCCTTCCGGATCTGGATGCAGACTCGGCAGACCGCCCCAGAGATCGAGGCCGTCCTCTTTGAATACCTGAAGACCGTCCTTCAGCCTTCCTTGGGAGTCCCTACTGTCCGAGCCTGGTCCCGCCAGCCTCATCTCTTCCAAAGTGCCATCTCCTCCCAAGCCAAGCTTGGGGCCTAGGGCCTCCTTGAAGGCCTAGTGTCCCCCAAATGGAGACACCTGCAGGCCCTTCTCTTCTCCTACATCGGCTCCAAGAAGTCCGCCAACCTTTGGGCCTCCCGCCTGATCCAACAACTGATCCGGATCGGGCACTACATGTGGAAAGACTGCAACCGGCTTGCCCTGGTACACAGCCCGCAAGCGGGGGATTGACATTGGCATCCGCGAACAGTTTGCAATGGGCCTGATTGATATCCCCCAACGATCCCAGTACCTCTTTTGTGACTCCTGCGAATATGTCCTCAACAAATCACTTGAAGATCGTCAACATTTGCTGTCCTTGTCTCCTGTGAGAGAGCAATTAACCGTTGCTCTCTAGCCAGGCAGCGCCAGATGATCTTTGACCTGGCGCGACCCGCCAACCCAACATCGACTCGGCCAACCGGCGCAAGTCCATAAACAGTCAGATGTCTCGGCCATCTCTCTGTCCCCTCTATGTTTCACTCTCCCTCTGTCGACCACAGGACTAGGGAACTCCAGGATGTCACATAGATGATGGCCACCTTGTTCTGGCAAACTGCGCCATTGGGACGCTCTCCATTCACTTGGATATAAAACTCAGAAATCAAAAATCAAAAACTAAAAGGTAGAAGATTATTTTCCATGCACAGCACCAAAACAAAACTGTACCAGTCCTACGCGTTTTCTACGTAAAGGAAAACAGTTGTTGTTGCT